AACCCGGGAAACGAGCAGTGCTTTGTGGGTCGGAGTGGGCAATCGCTCGTGAACATTGAGTGCGTACTCCCGAAACATAATATGGCCCCCTGCAGCCGTCATATCTGCCCCTCCCACTTACTATACTAATGCCCATCGCTTCATCCCCCTGCATCCTTGTCAGATTTCTGTCCCCATCCTCCCCACCATGATCATCAGACCCATTACCCCTTTCAGTGGATTTATGGATCCCCCCAGATCCATTCCCACAATCCCTCCCAGAACCCCTTAAAATAGAACTTAAAGATTTATCTAAAAAACCCCAAAGCCGTCGGTTTTTTGCAAACCACCTCTTGGGGCTCCAAAACCCGTCCTCAAGAAGAAGGCAATGATGAAGAAGGCAAAAGAGACTGACTATGGAAAATTAAACAATTGTAATATTAAGTATGGACAAAAAGAAAAGAAACAAAGAAGGAAAAGAGGATGGAATAGGAAAAATGTAAAAAATTTAAATGATTACATTGGGATTTACAGTGGAAATATAAGAAAGAGGGGAAAGAGATAGAAAATAATAAGAAATAAAGGACAAAATAAAAGATTTCATGATTTTAAAACACAAAATAAGTATATTGGGATCAACAATGAAAAGATACGAAAAAGGAAAGGAAAAGTAGAACCAAGGGGAAATATAGGGCAGAAAAGGAGAAAGACAAAGATAGAAAGAAATGGAAATATATTCAGAACTGTAAAATTTAATTGGTGAGTTTAATGTCAGAAAAAAAGAGAAAATAGTGATATTAATTAAGTGACTTTAAAATAAGAGGAGTATAGAGCGATATGAAATAAAGGGAATAAGACTGATACTCTATATTTAAAATTTTAAATATGCTCTACCAAAAATTGGAGAAACTGTAATAAATGTTATATGCTTAATAATATTGGCGGTCTATAGAATGATAGGTTTGATAATATGAACAAATTTGTTGGGGAAAATGTAATAATTGGAATATTTCAAACTACATATCTGAAACATAACCAAAAAGAGAAAAGAAGGCAAACGAAGAATATTTTAAGAACTAATTGGATTAGGTAAAATGAGAAATGAGTAAGATGAGCTTTATAAATACATATTTGAATAAGTGGAAATATATTGTTAAGATATTTTGAGAAATATATTCAAAAATTGAAACTGAATGTAAAATTGAATGAAATTGAAACGATAAAAATGATTTAAATGTTATTTATTTTATTTATTATTTATTAATTTTATTTCTATACCACCCTTCTCCCGAAGGACTCAGGGCGGTGTACAGCCTGATTAAAAGCACAAAGACAAACAAAATTTTAAAATAATTAAAATTATTAAATAATTGGCTCAATTATAAAACCGCCAAATTTAAAATCCCATTTTTAAAACCAATTAAAATCTTTACATTGATAGCCTGGCCTGGCGGAACAACAAGGTTTTGAGGGCACAGCGAAATACACGGAGATCAGAGATCTTACGCAATCCTGGGGGCAGTTCATTCCAAAGGGCAGGAGCTCCCACAGAGAAGGCCCTTCCCCTGGGTGTCGCCAGCCAACATAATTTGGCCGATGGCTCCCTGAGGAGACCCTCTCTGTGAGAGCGGACTGGCCGGTGGGAGGCTACTGGTGGCAGAAGACGGTCTCGAAGGTACCCAGGTCCAATGCCATGGAGCACTTTAAAGGTGGTAACCAACACCTTGAATCGCACCCGGAAGACCACTGGGAGCCAGTGCAGCTCAGCAGGAGGGGTGTCACGTGGGCACAATGAGTTGCGCCCATAACCACCCACGCGGCCGCATTCTGGACCAGTTGGAGCCTCTGGATGCTTTTCAAGGGGAGCCCCATATAGAGAGCATTACAGTAGTCCAGTCGGGAGGTGACAAGGGCATGAGTGACTGCGCAAGGTGTCGTGATCCAGAAAGGGCTGCAACTGGCGAATCAGGCGAACCTGATAAAAAGTCCTCCTGGCCACGGCCGTCATATGTTCTTCTAAAGACAGCCGTGCATCCAGGAGGATGCCCAGATTGCAAGCTCTCTCTGTGGGGGGTAAAGACTCACCCCCAATAATCAGCGATGGCACCAGCTGACTATATCGCGACGCCGGGAACCACAGCCACTCAGTCTTGGAGGGGTTGAGTCTGAGCCTATTTCTCCCCATCCAGACCCGCACGGCCTCCAGGCAGCGAGACATACATTGTTGGGGTGGTCTGGGTGGTCTGATTTAAATGTTATACTTGCAAGAAGTAAAGTATAAAATTGTTTGAGTAAAGATTTGAAAGAAAAAGAGGAATAAGATGAAATGTACTGTTAATAATTAAAAGGACAAGGGATCGGGGCTGCCTGGAAAATATTAAATTGAAAATGAATACAGCAATAGAGAGAGATGAAGGAGGGGAAGAGAGTTGGAAGGGAAGAGGAAGGAGAGAGAGGGATGGAAGAGTAGGGAGAAAGGAAGGGAAGGGAAATAGAGTAGGAGAAAAGGTAAGACAGGGGGGAAGAGAGGAGGAGAAGGAGAAGGGAAGGGGAAGTAAAGAAGAGAAGAAGGAGGTGGGGAAAGAAAGTAGGAAGAGATAGGGAAGAGGGAGAGGGTAGGTTTGAGGAGAAAGACTGCTGTGCAATAAAAAAGATGAAGTGGAAGAAAGGCAACTCCGAACAAACAAATATAAATATATTAAGATAAAGAATGAACTGTTTAAGAATAAATATGAATAAATATGAATAAATAGTAAAGTTAGAATCTAGGGACAAATGAAGATGGTGTTTATGTATGCAAGTATAGAAATATTGAGATATGTTTAAAAAAAATAAAGAAAAGAAAGGGAGGGGAAACGATTTTGGGAAAAAATGTAATTGAGTAAAATGTATTTGAATTTGATTAATTGTATAAGATAAGAACCAGTCAACACTCTGTTCAAAAAAAAAGAAAGATGTGGGCGAATGTGGGAGAGGAGAAAAAACCAATAAAACTTGTTTTAAAAAAAAACAAATATATCAAAAAAGCACAACAAAGAATGTTCTTTCTGTGCCAACTCAGAAAGCTCAAACTGCCCAAGCAGCTGCTGATACAGTTCTACAGAAGAATTATTGAGTCTGTCATCTGCACCTCTATAACTGTCTGGTTTGGCTCTGCAATCAAACAAGACAGACACAGACTTCAACGGATAATTAGAACTGCAGAAAAAAACAATTAATACCAACCTGACTTCCATTGAGGACCTGTATACTGCACGAGTCAAAAAGAGGGCTGTGAAAATATTTACAGACCCCTCACATCCTGGACATAAACTGTTTCAGCTCCTACCCTCCAAACAGCACTATAGAGCACTGCACAGCAGAACAACTAGACACAAGAACAGTTTTTCCCGAATGCCATCACTCTGCTAAACAAATAATTCTCTCAACACTGTCAAACTAGTTACTAAATCTCAACTACTATTAATCTTCTTATCGTTCCCTCCACCCATCTCCTTCCACTTATGACTGTATGACTGTAATTTTGTTATTTGTATCCTTACGATTTATATTGATATTGTTTCCTGATTGTTTATTTGTAAACAATCAGGAAATCAACACTTAATGACTATCATTAAGTGTTGTACCATATGATTCTTGATGAATGTATCTTTTCTTTTATGTACACTGAGAGCATATGCACCAAGACAAATTCCTTGTGTGTCCAATCACACTTGGCCAATAAAGAATTCTATTCTATTCTATTCTATTCTATCCTATCCTATCCTATCCTATCCTATCCTATCCTATCCTATCCTATTCTATTCTATTCTATTCTATTAACAATCGCTCATGCCCTAGTCACTTCCCGTCTTGACTATTGCAATGTGCTCTACATGGGGCTGCCCTTGAAGAGCATCTGGAAGCTCCAGTTGGTGCAAAATGCAGCAGCCCACATGGTTTTGGTGTGCATATGTATCTCCTCTCCTGCGGGAGCTGCATTGGCTGCCGATTTGCTTCCAGGTGCAATTCAAGGTGCTGGTTGTCATCTTTAGAGCCCTTCATGGCTTGGGATCAGGTTATCTGAGGGACTGTCTCTTGCCAATCACCCATCAGAGTGGGAAGGCAGGGAATGTTGCGGGTCCCATCCCCTAGGGAGATACACTTGGTGGGACCCAGAAGAAGGGCCTTCTCCATGGCGGCTCCCTCTCTCTGGAACATCATTCCCCCAGAGATTAAAATGGCCCCCACTCTAACACTCTTCTGGAAGGCACTGAAGACTTGGTTCTGCCAACAGGCAAGGGGAACCCAAAGCGGGATGGAGTGATGTGCTGTCGCTAGACCAGGGGGTAGTGGGTTATTATTGTATTGTATTGTATTGTATTGTATTGTATTGTATCGTATCGTATCGTATCGTATCGTATCGTATCGTATCGTATCGTATCGTATCGTATCGTATCGTATATCATATCATATCATATATCATATCATATTATAAGTTTATTTTACTTTTTTATTCATTTCATTATTTTGAATGTTTTATATTCTGTAAGCCACCTTGAGTCACCATGTGTGAATAGGCAGCAATATAAATTCAATAAATAAATAATTTTAACTTGTAAGTCATCAGAGAGAAAACATGAAACGTGGCAGACATATCTCTCTTGCATACAGGCATTAGAACATCAGTAAGAAACCCTTTGGAAGTCAGATAGTGCCAGCAAGAACTACCAAACCACTATCCTAAGGCAAGAGGTGACACCAAACTGGAAAAATCAGACAGCTTCTTGGGGCTTCTATGCTTTCATACTTATATGTATGTCTAGCTTCAGATCCCACATGTCCACACTACAAAGGAATTCTTAGACAGTAATAGTACCCAGGTGACATCACAAAGAGGTTGAAGAGAGAAGAAGAAAACAAAGAGAAATCATTGGTAGTGTTAATCATTTTTCACAAAGTTGGACAAGGAAGATTTGATAGACATATGTATTTATTACCCATTCTTTGGAAAATAAAACATTGAGAAATATTAGATTTACCGGTAAAAAGCCTCAAATAAATTGTTTGAGGAAACTCCAGTTATTGATGAAATCTGATTCTTTCCTTCCCTGAAAAGATATTTTAGAAGCAAATGGGTAGGTAGCACAAATTAAGTAACTATCACATTCTTTTCCCCCCGACATCAAATACTGAGTATATTATGCAAGTCCCTATATTATTTTCAAAAGTCATTTCAAATGGCTTAGTCTCTAAATGATCACTTGAAGCTGAAATATTTTGCAATGCAATCCTATAAACAGCTAAACAGAAATTACTTTTGTTGTGCAGTACAATCCTATAAACATCTAATCAGAAATCAGTTTCATTTATTTTTTTTAAAAAAGTACCTATACCTATATAACATTCAAAATGGAAAAAATATTTTATTCAATAGAGCCAATCTCTGATCTAAAAGTTTAGATTGACACACAAGGGCTTCACAAGGCTCCTCCCCCAGGGAGGTGCTCTCCCTGAAAAACTCTGATTCAGAGTTTAACTAGAATGAGCCTCGGTGAATCTCCGCATCAAAACAAATTGAAAAACTCAAATGATTTCAGACAATTTTAATCAGTTTTTTAGATATGTAAAGATGTGCTTTTTCACATTAATTTAGAAAGCCAAACTGCATCAAACCACAGAATGGGACAATTCGTCATGGCCAAGTGGCCGCAGGCAACTCACTGTGGGGCAATCCAACAAATACAAAAGTTACATTAATTTTGATGCAACCGTGGCCAATAATAATAAAATAAGAAAAGTCAATCCAGAAATACAAGAGTTACAATAGTTTTGACAAAAAACTTGTCACTAATAATAAAAATAACTGAATGAAACGATTAATACAGTGTTGAATTTTCCCATGGTGAGTTGTACCATGGCAAGTTCGCTATGGTGAGTTGGCAGCAATAAGTTGTCCTAGACCCTCAGATCAATTTTCAGAAGAAGTGTGATTTCAACTGGATCAACCCTAATAATCACATCCCTACTTCTGTCTGTTTCTTTCTTTGTATGACTGACTTTTTCTACAGTAAACAACTCATATATATATACACTATAGATATAGTATATATATATAGTTTCACTAAAAGTTGTGACACTGAATTGAAGGATAAGCAATAGTATAACACATGAATAAATGAATAAGTTAATATTTTAGCAAATATGCTATATACATGGGTACTTACAAATAATTTTATTTCTTCATTCTTTTTGCTTGGAAATTTTATTGCATTTTCATATTCTCTTAACCTCCTTTTTATTTATTTCAGTTTATGTCTTAAGTCTTAAAAGTCTTAAATCTTTTAAAAGTCATCTTGAGAAAGCAGGATAATGAAAAATGCTATTTTGTGGTTGTGTTCGAATATGATTAAAGTAATTGGACAATTCTTTTAAAATTGTCCAATGCAAAACTGGAAGAACATGAAGACTGAGGTGGAGATGAATGATGAGAGGAGTTTCATTGTTTCATTTTCTAAAGATGGATTTCTTTAATTTGCAAAGAACAATAGAAAAGACGTAGTGCTGAATTATGCTGAATGACAATGATGTCTCTACATATTGTAACAACTAAGTGAATAAAATATGACAATGACACATTAAGTCTTCTAGTATGGCGAGAGAAAAAATTGATTTTGAAAAAGAGCAAATTGTTTTTATCTATATGCTTTTGTGTGATATTTGTTTTTTAAAAAACTAATTAATCTTCCTACCTCACTGCATCAGGCAAGTATTTCATTCCTGGGTAGATAAAATCAGAGAAAAACTTCAGGGCATAATATTGAGATTTTGGACTTGATTTTGCCAGGTAGAGATTGGCAAATTCTGTATTTTCATAAAGACCTTAAAATGAAGGGAAACAGAAAGAAGTATTAAGATTATTGCTAACACAAAAAAGAAAATTTAAAACTATATTACTCAATATACTATTTCTTATATTTTGAAAAAAAACAAATACAACGGGTTATTAAACATGATTGTTAATGCTTCTGAATGTTGGTGTTGGCGAATACATCTGAGAATGTTATAGACAGCCAAGAAAACAAATTTATCATTGAACAAACCAACCCAGAATTTTCAATCGAGTGATCAGGCTTAAATTTTACTACTTTGGGCACATTATTAGAAGACTCTAATGCTGGGAAAGGTGGAAGGAAAGAGAAGATGGCCAGCAGGAAGGTGGATGGACTCAGTTACAATGGCAATGGGTAATGGGCATTGGAAAATTTGCAGATTTTCTCCCTGAAGAAAATCTATGTTTGTGGTCTTCAATGATTTATGACATGTAAATCAATCACCCAAAATGTTTCAAATGACTTTAATCATGCTTTCTATCATAAAATCTCAAAAATATCTTAAAGTACCACACTTTTAAAAAACAATTAATAGGACGTCATGAAGGCCAAGTCATTCTTAACTAGTACAAATGGATTATTGGGACTTGTAAACTACATGTAGCAGAATAAATTTGTGGACAAAACCGAATCGCTATGTAGAAACAATGAAGCACATTTAGAATAATTTAATGAAGGCTGAAAAAAACTAACCCAAAACTTCTATCCAAAATAACCATTGGAGGAAATAAAGTGCTTGAAATACAGTTCGGAATAGTATGGATATGAATTAAATGCTATAGACTGGTTATAGTAAACCACATGTGTAAAAGTGACAGGTTACAACATTTTATGTGACATGCCTGCATTCACCTGGCAACATGTATTCTTGAAAGCATGCCCTAGCTGTGAAATCTGCATGCAAATGGAGTGTGCTTTTGCTCAGTGTCTAGAAATTGCACAGGAGGCCCATGTTTTCGCAAGGCATCCAAACCCTCCAAAACCTATGTGAGAACAGGATGTGATTTTCTGTGGTGTTTGGAGGTTGAACAGGCCATGCACATGCAGTGACCAAAGCTGCTTCACAAATGAAGATCTTGTGCAACCCGCAGCAGCCTGTCTGCAAAAAAACCAAAAAAAAACCAACCAAACAAAAAAACCCTGCTGGAAAGTAAGCCTGAGGATAAGAAGCATCAGGCTTGCGCATCCTGGGGAACAGAATTTTGAGTAGCAATGAGGCTAAGGACTGAAGTCGAGCTCTTGGCCTGGGCCTCAATTTCAGGCCCAGCCTTGGGGCTGACATCTAGTGCTGCTCTTCAGAGTGACATAGATTGACAGCCGAGAGGTGGGGAGAGAGAATTGTTTCTCTTTTGTTTGGGAGTGGGCGTGTGACACATCAACCCCAAAGGATTTGCCATCTGTGGTATAGATTAATATGTAATAGTTATAAAGAATTTGGGGCACTTTTGATTCCAACTTAGTTACCTCTGTTGTCCTTTCGTTCCATTTTCAGAAGATTTAAAGTTACACAACAGTTCAGCAGCATCTCCATTCCAGTGAGACTGGCATTTAAACGTTCAGCAATAATCGCTGAGGAGAGAGATTTACCTGACTCTCTCAGCAAGTCAAATATTCCAAATTCACAGGAAGTAAATATTATCTGAAAAGAAATGGAGAGATGTACCAACAGCAGAAAGTTTGAGAAAGGATGATCTTCCTTTAATTATTTAATTTTGTCTCCTCCAAAATATCTGAATAACTTATGAATAAGGATGAATGAAAGTCAATAATTATAAAACATTTACAAAGGAAGAGAGACTGTTTTAATTAGATATGTTTTTTGTTAGCTAGAAGCCCTCTTCAGGATAGAGAATGCATGCCTTTTTCCAGTCCTGTCCCTTCGTAATGTCCGCTTGCTCATCTAGGAGGTCTGCAAGAAGAAGTCTGACTCTCTTGAATATAAGTGCAGCTTCCTATATATAATTTGCGATACAGGTAATCCTCAAGTTACCATAGTTAGTGACCAAAGTTATGTCATAAACTCACCCTCACAAAATACTTACGACACAGTCCCAAAGTTATGAATGTTGCAGTACTATGGCAGTTGTTTACACTTATAAGCAATGTTTGCCCTGCTTATTCCTCCTCCCCCTCGGGCTGGGCCTTCACAGGAACTGGGCCTCTGGAGACTCACTTACCTTGCAACGATCTAGTGAGCCATCAGTTCCTTTGCCTGCTTCAGTGCATTCATGGAGAACAGAGGCCTAAAGTAGTATGAGATCACACAAGAGCAGTAATGCAAGATCTCATGCTACTGATCTCCAGGTCTTCCCTTCATTTGCAAAGCTTTTGGCTGCAGATCTTGTCCAGTGCTCCATTCGTACAGAACAGAGGCCTAAAGTACTGTAGTGCAAGTTCACGTGAGATCAATAGCTTTTGGCAGCAAAATCTTCTTGGGGCCATGATCTCACACCACAGCCCCCAGAAGCTTCCAGTCTTGGCACAAAAAGCATTTGCAAGCTGATGTGTCATGCCCCCATTGGAGCCTGAACCTGTGGGAGAAGATGAGCTCGACCATGAGCCAACGGAGATTGAAGGGCGGCTTCGCTGGCTGCAAAGGAAAATGGGGAAAGGCAGGACCAGTCAGACTACCCCTCCTGATCCAAGAGCACAGAGAGTGGAGAGAAGGCAAGAACAGCACAGATTGAACAGGCTACTCAGGAGAAAAGTGCCCTGCCCATCTTCACAAGGCACACCTGGGGAATGAGGCTTAAAATGAGATGCTGTGGGCATTGTCAGGAACAAACTCTGAGTCCCTGAAGTGTTGAGTGCCAATGTTTGAACTTTCCAAGAGTACTTGCATTCTTTCTGGCTTTCTGGACTAATTACCTGGATCCTTTGCTTCCTGAACTCCTTGATTTGCCCTGCTGGATTTATTGCTATGCAGCCTTAGTGTACACAGCTCTGGGCTGGAATATTTGTAGCCAGAGGTTGCTTGAGGTATGTGTGGGGGTTTGTCATCTTTTCTCTGGGACTTGCCAGAAATGTGGGAGTGTTTGGGGAAATTTGGAGCAATAAAGGGGCGGTTTGAACTGCCAGCTGCTTGTGTTATCTCTATGCCGTGCTCCCAGTCATCACACGATGGGAGGCTTGAAGCAATGCGATTTTGTTGTTCCAAAGTCTTGTTGGCTTGCAAATGTTTTTTTTGCTGAGACTGCAAGCGGGCAAAGAAACTACAACAAAGAGGCTGGAGAAGAGACAGCTCACTAGATCTTCACAAAGTAAGTGACCCAGTGCAGCAGGATGGGGTGGGAGCAATTGTGTGGACCCCAGAGAGGGAGCATGAGGGGGAGGCCTTGGTGGTCTGAAGCATGTAGCCTGTTCCATCGCTAGGACCTCCATGGCCTTCCCATCCTGAAATACCTCTTGTACACTTAACGACCTGCATGTCAATTAGCAAATGTGTGGGTGAAAGCAGGGAGTGATCATGTTCATTTGACGTGATTCACTCCAAAGAATTCTCGGGTTACAAATGTAATTGTCAAGCTCCATTACAGGATTACCTGTATTTTTTTTTAGTGCCAGATCACACGGAGAACTGCATTCATGTTCAAGAAAATATTAGGACACCATTCCTTTTGACTTCACAGGTGAATGCAGAGAGTAGAGGGAATAAACAGCTCAATTCTTTGACCTCTTAAAATTAATCCCTAAAGAGAGCTACAAAATGTGTTGTGATAGAAGCTACTGACAGAATTGTGGTCAGAAGACACCATTGCTCTATTTGATTAATAATTAAATTACTGAGTGCTGATTAGATTTGACATACCTTTCATCCATGGGTGCCCATTGCTCCCTAATCCTTCAGTCCCTGATATGTTCTAGAAACCATGATAATTTATGGCAACCAGCTTTATTTGTAGCTGTTGAGCAATTGGTAAAAGGGCAGGTACAGCATCTTTTTTCATCTAGCAGCTATGTTTCTTTCTTTAAAAAATCATTTATGGACTAAATCTAACGGTGTAGTGGGTCACCAAAAAGAAAAGATAGAGGAAAAATGTTTATTGCAGGTTCTGAACAGATTTCTTTTGTTCAAAAAAATAGAAAAGCCATTGCCCAAAATTAAAGTTTTTACCATCAAATTTTAAAACACAATCTGTGGTAAAGTACTGTGAGATTTTATAATAAATGTAACATAATCTCTTTATTTGTCATGTTCCAATCTGATTTCCTTCAACTGCAAATTGGGTAGCCTTATAAACTGCTCTAATAAATAATAAATAAATAATAAACAAAAAGCTTTCCAAAGCAGAATGAGAAAAACGAATGATCTTTTGATGAGAAAACTGATACAGAAAGTTCAGCAAAGGCTTTTGTACTTTAAGTAAAATACAGTAGTTTTAGTGGAGCATAAGCCGCACGATTTGGAGTTTTTTTCATATCCATAAGACTCTGAAGAAATAAAGTTGTACATTTTAATGCCATATTTACTGTTTTCACCCTACCTTTGTAACCATAAATGAATGTTGATGCTGAAATAATATTTTAATATTTTCTTTTTCCTCTGGTGAAGCCATTGTTCTTCACTTCTCTGTCAAACACACAAGAAAATTATTTCATTCACTCATATTTCTATACCATTGCAATCTAAAGAAATTCCCATTGATTACAGTATCAAACACAAAAAAAATACATAATAAATTCATCAACCCATTTCAGTGTCTCTAGTTATGCAATAGCTAAATAATCTGACAATGTTTATCTACTAAACTTCCAACTTTTCAGCCCATTTGGACCACCTTCTTAAAAACCAGCAGGGGAAGCCCCACCTAGATATCCAGGGGAATCTGTTCCACAGGTATGGAGAGTGGAGACATAACAGAAAATCATTGGCTCCTGGCTCTTCCTGCCCCACAACCCCACATTTCACATAGGGAGAGCACCTTCAACATCCCAACCTGTGACAGGTTTTACTGAAGTAGCACTCCCTCTAATGATTTTGCTCAGAAGCACCCTATGCAGTAAGCTTTTGGTGAATAAAGGGAGATTAATCAAAGTCACCCAGTGAACTTTCTTCACTGAATATGAATCTCACCAGTAACAGTTCCATTACAACATACTAATGACCAAGGCAATCAACTACAAGAACCATGCCAGTACACTACTATTTTCCATAGACCCTTTTCAGTTCTGATTTTGAGGTGGATAAATCAGGTTGTCTGAATTTAGGCAAAAGGGCAAAAATGAATAAGACTTGCAGACTTGTGTTCTCATGTGATTGATAGAGGTAGGGGGATTGCCACCAATTAACAGCCCATCTAAGAGCTGCCCCAAGGTGAGATGGACAGTAAACAATTTAACAAATTGTTAAACAAATAAATGTATTAAACAAACAAATAAATAAGAAAGACCTCCCATTGTCCAGATCCTCAGCCACATTAAATGTGATCTCAGATGTGGAGCTAAGACTGCTATGTTGGAAAGTCACTTACAAAGATTTGTTTGTTTGTTATTTGTTAAATTTATTTGCCACCTATCTTGCTGTGGGATGCAGGAGAAACATTTTCATGCACTAATGGAAAGTGGATAAACAAGATTTCCAATATTATAATACAGTGAATTGCTTCTTCCAAGCACAGACATTGACATATTTATTTCTTTGTTTAAACTGACATACATGGCAGTCAATTTGGTCCATAACAACCAACTGAAAAATTCCTAAACTCCTAAATACAATTCCAGGAACTCCTGAAGGTGAAGACTAGTGAAAGAAATTGTAGAAATTAATTATCTCCAATGGCATCGATAGTCATCCACGCATAGCATGTATAAGAAGAGTAGAGTTTACATAGTAGCATACAGGATGGCATTGCCATGCAGTGGATGATTCTATGAAATTGCCAGGATGCCAAGATCAATTAAGCCCTGTAGCTGTATCGGAGTGCAGCTGGAAATCATAAGGCAGCAGAAATCCCTAATGCCAATGTGTAGTTCTAGAGGCCTAAATTGCACTTGATTTCTGATAGTCACAACCTTGGAACAAACCAGGGGTGGGTTCCAATTTTTTTTTACTACCAGTTCTGTGGGCGTGGCTTGTTTGGTGGCCGTGGCTTGGTGGTCATGTGACTGGGTGGGCATGGTTTGGTGATCATGTGATTGGGTGAGCGTGGTTTGGTGGTCAGGTGACTGGGTGGGCGTGGCCAACTTGACATTCATGTCAAGGGTTAGGGTTATGGTGCCTGGCCTCTCCTCACCTCAAAGGCTTCAATGAGATACAATTTCCCTGTCTATTTATTTACTACTACTGAACATCCAAAATATACTATTTAATCCTATGTATATATGCCATATGTATATATATATATTTTACATAGTATAGAGTGTATATAGGCACACAAAAAGGTTGTGAATGTATCGATCTTATAATGGCGAACAAAAGGTGAGAACGATGTCCACGTGGCAGCTCGGCAAATGTCCAGGATAGACGCTTGAGTTGACCACGCCGCCGACGTGGCTGCACTGCGTGTTGAATGTGCCCAAATTCGCCCTGGCACCTGCTTGCCCCTAGCGCCATAGGCCGCGGAGATACAGGCCCTGATCCATCTGGCTATGGTTTGAGATGACACCCGTTGGCCCATGGTTGCCGGGTGGAAGGACACGAAGAGCGATTCTGACTTACGAAAGGTGGCAGTCCTGGCAATATAACGGCGTAGTGCCCGGCGTACGTCGAGGGTATGCCATTGGGTCTCTAAAGGGTGCCAGGGTTCAGGACAAAAGTCAGGGAGGATAACCTCCTGTTGTCTATGGAAAACCGAATTGATTTTGGGAACAAACGAGGGGTCTAGTCTAAGGACAACCAAATTGGGTTTAAAAATACAAAGGTCACTGCGAATCGACAGGGCGGCTAGTTCAGAGACCCTCCGAGCTGACGTGATGGCAAGTAAAAAGGCCAGCTTCAGAGACAAAAACTTAAGGCTAACAGAGGCTAATGGCTCGAAAGGAGCAATCGTAAGAGAGTTCAAAACAAGAGGTAAGTCCCAAGTAGGGTATCTACGAATGGGAGGAGGCCGGAGATTCGTAGCACCCCTTAAAAAAACTACGAATACGGGGATCCAGAGTCAGCGAGCCGGAATCCCCTGGCACAAGGACAGTTGCTAAAGCAGCCACTTGTCTTTCGAGGGTAGAAGGGGCCAGACCTTTGGCAAGGCCCGCTTGGAGGAAGTCTATAACGTCAGGTACAGATGCGGACGTAGGGTCTGTATGCTGAGAGGCACACCAAAGGCAAAAGGCCCTCCAGGAGGAGTCATAAATTCGGACAGTGGACGGACGTCTGGCCGCTTGGATGGTAAGGATGGCGTCATTTGAGATGTTATCTCAAATGACAATTCCAGGAACTCCTGAAGGTGAAGACTAGTGAAAGAAATTGTAGAAATTAATTATCTCCAATGGCATCGATAGTCATCCACGCATAGCATGTATAAGAAGAGTAGAGTTTACATAGTAGCATACAGGATGGCATTGCCATGCAGTGGATGATTCTATGAAATTGCCAGGATGCCAAGATCAATTAAGCCCTGTAGCTGTATCGGAGTGCAGCTGGAAATCATAAGGCAGCAGAAATCCCTAATGCCAATGTGTAGTTCTAGAGGCCTAAATTGCACTTGATTTCTGATTTCTGATAGTCACAACCTTGGAACAAACCAGGGGTGGGTTCCAATTTTTTTTTACTACCAGTTCTGTGGGCGTGGCTTGTTTGGTGGCCGTGGCTTGGTGGTCATGTGACTGGGTGGGCATGGTTTGGTGATCATGTGATTGGGTGAGCGTGGTTTGGTGGTCAGGTGACTGGGTGGGCGTGGCCAACTTGACATTCATGTCAAGGGTTAGGGTTATGGTGCCTGGCCTCTCCTCACCTCAAAGGCTTCAATGAGATACAATTTCCCTGTCTATTTATTTACTACTACTGAACATCCAAAATATACTATTTAATCCTATGTATATATGCCATATGTATACATATATTTTACATAGTATAGAGTGTATATAGGCACACAAAAAGGTACATTATCTACTATATATACTGTATGTGTATGTACACACACAAAGAGCTCTTTTAAAACTATACACATTCAACCTCACTTACTACATTTGGAAAAACACACCCAGAATCCACTTTCTGCCACACATTTAACTATAACTTCTATACATTTAGAACATTACACACACCTTCAGATATTCTTCCCTACCTAGCTTGCACATGACTATTAGAGCCAGGAGAGCTCATGGATTGAGTAAAATGTGGTGAAACTCACTTAACAACGCTCTTGCTTAGCAACCAAAATTTTGGGCTCAATTGTGGTCATAAGTCAAGGACTATTTCTGCCTTCTTCTGCATGGCAGCCTTGTCCTAGTAAACTCCTTTTCCTTTCTGGCAATTTTCCTCTCTGTTAGAGGCACCAAAACAATCTAGACGGTATAAGGTTTCCTCCTGGACCAGGGGGTTGGGCTAGATGGCCTCCAAGGTCCCTTCCAGCCCTAGATTGCTATCCTGTTTCAAAGCGTCTTCTGAAGCCACATCTAGTGCCAGGGTTTGTGGTCCTTCCTTCCTCTTCTTTCTCTCTCTCTCTTCCTCCCTCCCTCCCTTCCTCTTTCTTTCTTTCTTTCTTTCTTTCTTTCTTTCTTTCTTTCTTTCTTTCTTTCTTTCTTTCTTTCCTCTCTCTCTCTCTCTCTCTCTCTCTCTCTCTCTCTCTCTCTCTCTCTCTTTCTTTATCTCTCTTTTCTCTCTCCTTTCCTTTCCTCCTTAAACGCCAGCAGAACCCACCATTTTGCTCCTAAAGTGGTCTAGGGCAGAGGTCTCCAACCTTGGCAACTTTTAGACTTGTGGACAAAGCAAAGCAAAGCTGGCTGAGGAACTCTGGGAGTTGAAGTGCACAAATATTAAAACTGCCAAAGTTGGAGATCCCTGCCCAGGAGTGAAATGCTGCCGGTTCGAACCAGATCACCCGATCCGGTAGCGATGGAGGCAGATGGTTTGGAGAACCGGTAGCAAAAATCCCTGCCCCCCACCCCCATGCCCAGCTGAGCCGCACAATCATCAGAGGCTTTTTTTTTACTTTTAAAAGCATTTTTTTCTACAACCTCTTCGGCCAAAAAATGCTTTTAACAGTACAAAAAAAAAAGCCTCTGATGATCGTGCAGGTCAGCTTTGTTCGTCAAAGGCTTTTAAAAGAAAAAAAACCTTTTTTTTTCCTTTTAAATGCCTCTGACAATCCAAGCTGAGTTGGATACACTCAAAATACACTGCAGGAGGAGAGAATCTAAATTACAAAGGGAGCCCCAGGATGAAAAAAATTAAAGGGAAAATGATTCTGGTTAAACATAAACTAAATATAGTGGAGCAAGAGGAAAGGGCAAGGGAATTGAAAGCGGCAAAACAATTTTTTTTTTGAACATGCAAACAAGCCCGGGAGGTGGCTAGACTATAAATTAAAAAAGGATAGGGAAAAAAAGATTGGTTCAGGAATTAAAGGATGAAAATGGAGAGTTACGTTACAAATGGAAAAAAAGGAAAAAAATCTCAGAATTACTTTGAGGTGCTATATAAAAAAGAAGAAATAAACGAGAACATAAAACAATACTTAAAGGTTAATGGTTTGCCGGAACTGAAAGAAGAGCAGAGGGAAATATTAAATAAAGAGATAACAGCCACAGAATTAAGAAGAGCAGTGCAAAAACAAAAAAGTAATAAAACCCCGGGGCCAGACGAACTTCCAGGGGAGGTATATAAGAGTTTGTATGAGGATTTCGAAATGATACTCCTGGAAGTGTATAATGATATATTGGAGAAGGCCAGATTATCAGACTCCTGGACTGAAGCTTATATATCTCTCATTCTAAAAGAAGGTACAGACCTCAAACAAATAAAAAATTACAGGCCAATCTCGCTGTTGAACACAGATTACAAAATTTTTACTGCTATAATTGCGGAAAGATTGAAATTAATATTAAATGAAATAATACATTCAGACCAAAATGGTTTTTATAACTACAAGGCAAATTAGGAACAATATAAGAACAGTGTTAAATTATTATTATTATTATTATTATTATTATTATTATTATTATTATTATTATTATTATTATTATTATTATTATTATTATTATTATTAATTGAATTTCTATACCGCCCTTCTCCCGAAGGACTCAGGGCGGTGAACATACATACATATATATATATATATATATATATATATATATATATATATATATATATATATATATATATATATATATATGTAGGTCTTTGGTTATTCGGGTTTTCTCCCACGTAAAATTGGAAGTGTCTTGGCGACGTTTCGACGAAGTCTCATTCGTCATCTTCAGGCTGGTGTTCTCGGCTTCGTGCTTCCAGGAGCAATGTGAGATATATATATATATATATAAAGTAAATAATAAATTGAGTCAACTTAGTGTATCTGCTAAGACCTTGGCATAGAATTTAGATGTTTATGCTAGCCCTGCTTGTTGAAACAGAAAGGTCTTCAGGGCACGTCGGAAAGTGCGAAGATCTGGGATTATGTTTTAGAGTACTATGAAGCACATCCTGAAAAACAGGTGGCACTAGTATTTTTAGATGCCCAGAAAGCATTTGATTATCTTAATCGGCAATTTTTGTTCCAACATATCAAAGATATGAGATTTGGAGGGAAGTTCGAGAAAACAATAAAGATGATATACAGGACACAAAAAGCTAGAGTGATAATTACTGGGGATAACACAGAGACATTCAAAATTTGAAAGGAGTAAGACAGGGATGCCAATATCACCTCTGCTTTCCATCTTGACATTAGAAGTGCTGCTAACCCAAATTAGATACAATGGAGAGATAAAAGGACTAAAGGTAAAAAAAAAAAAAGAAGAAGAAGAAGAATATAACATACAGGCATTTGCGGATGACCTAGTGTTCTTCATAGAAGAGCTGCTAGATATAGGAAACATCTTAATGAATAATTTGGGACAGTGGCAGGATTGAAAATTAATAGAGAAAATACTAAAATGTTAGTTTAAAAAAATTAACTGAAAAAGAAAAGAAAGAATTAGAAAAAGATTTGGGATTGCAAATTGAAAAAAGATTACATATTTAGGAATTTGGCTCACTCTAAGGTGTTCTTCAATAAAAGATGATAATTATAAAAAACTGATACAACAAATGAAAAAAGATTTAGAGATTTGGGGAAAATTACAGCTATCACTACTAGGAAGGATAGCAGTGATTAAAATGAATATATTGCCAAAATTATTATATCTATTCCAGACAGGCCCTATAAAATTGGAAAGGAAATTCTTTGACTTTGGCAAAGCTGGGGTAATTCCATACAAAGAAAAAGCCTTAAAAATCTGGATAGAAAATCTGAGGTTTAGTAGCCTCTTACAGATACTACAGTCCATATATTACAGAAATGAAGTGCTGAGTTTAGTGGATGAAGTCTTACCACAGGACAGCTGAGCAGGGGAGATTACAAATCAGTCTTTCATGAGATGCTCAGGATAAACCTCAGTTTCAAGCAAAGGAAAAGAAGTCAGAAAAAGGTGTATATATCTGCGGAGCACTAGTGTCTTTCCAGGAATTGCTTAATTGACCTGCCAAGCCAATTCTTATCCTGGCAGCTCTTCATTAAAGATGTCAGCATGGGTGGTGGCAATAAATATCTGTTTTCATTAGAAAAAAAGAATTATGGCATATTAGGTTGTGTTCTGACCCAGCCTTAGCAGAACCAAGAAACAGACTCCTTGTCCTGAAAACCCCCTCTTTATTTAGCTTCTGTGAATTCATGACATTCACACACAGAAAACTCCAGGCAATAATCCTTCCAAAGGTTAATTGCAATAACAGATCTTATCAATCCTTGGATAATTGCCAGACCGAGAGCTTCCAGGCCCAAAGCTGTAAATTAATTCTTGGCAAGTCTTTGAGGCATGAACCATGATGAGAAAATCTTCCCGAATTCGCAGCGTGGCGGGGGAAGGAGAACCGTCTCTCTTCTTCAAACCCAGATTTTTTGTGTTTTGGGGACCTTTCGGGGAGCAAAAAGCCTGGAGGACATTGCGGACTAGAGAGGGAGTCCAGAGTGCGGCAAAGTGAAGGACGATCACTTGCAGCATAAACGGACACTTTTGTCGATCCAACACGAATATGTCTGACAGCTTGTAATGGCAGACTCTAGGCTGCAATGAGCCAATAAGTATAGGGAAGAGAAGATTTTTGAAGCAGGCATCGCCGTCGTAAGTGTTTATTTGGAACGTTGCAGGATCAAAGATTGCTTTAAAGACTTGAGTCCAGTCTTTTCAAGTTAGAAGAAGATTTCCAGTGAGAGAATAAGCGGTGATTTGGCGGATGGAGAATGAATCAGCATAATAGACTTAACTGCTAAGACGGCAATTAGGAGAAAGAGTGGATTTTGCGAAGTGGAGGCACGGTTACCAAAAGCTGCTGAGAACTGAGAATTAAAAAGAAATCAAAGAAGAAGAAGGTGAGAGAGTCGATGCTGCAGAGAGACAGAAGGGGATAGGAACAGGACTGAAAGGAGGAGAAGAAGTGAGGATTGACATTGCCATGACTTAACAGCGAGAGAAGCAGATAGGAGGATCCTTTGAACTGGAAAGGAAGGGGAAGGACTTCTTTGCTTTAATTGAATTGATTTTTTTGAACAGAGGATTTAAAGAACATTGAGGTGAAACTAAAGTGTATAGAAGGAGAACATCGATCTAAGGAATTATATATTCTTTTTTTTCTTTTTTTTCTTTTTTTATATTACTATTAAAAATACTATTATATTTTTTATATTACACTGTCCACATTGATAGATATAAGAGACTTGGGAGGAGTTAAGAGTTGCATCTGAAAGAAGGCTTGGGAGAAGACACATGATTTACACCTCTAATAAATGGCTGTTTGAATCTTAATATACTTTGTGTTTTCTTTTTTAATGCCTTAGCAACTAAGTGATTAAGTAATTAATTGTGAAGTAATTAAGAAGCAATTAAGAGGATAAATAATTTTATAGTAGGTAATAATAATCAGGCACAAAAACTAGATAATAAAGATTGTTAATTGTTAATTATTGGATTTATTATAATATTGAGACCTAGATGATTGATTTAATTTGAGATATAGATTTACGTGATTGTTAATAGGTATTTCAACATTAATTGTTAGTTTTGAGTTTGAGACACAGACAGATCTGCTTAGTGACTTAAGATATCTTGTTTAATTTAGTATAGAATATATTAATATAGAATATATAGATTACAGATACCTATTTTGTATTATATTGGTACTTCCTTTTTGTGATATTAAAAATAACCACGAGAAATAATAATAACAAGAAAAAATAGGCAATTAACAGTGGATGATAGTGTGGAAAAATATTTATAAGATCTTGGGACAGCAAAGTAAAATACTGAAAGAAATGACTAGTCTCACTACTACTACTCTAAAAGCAGGGAAGAAAACTGCATCGAACCCAGCAATAACAATGGTGTCTCCCTCAAATCAAAGATCAACCGAAGGGTCATTAAAGATGGAAAAATCCACCATAGTCCCAACAATGCAAACAATGGAAGCCGCGCAAACATTAAAACAAGGGCCAATGGTTAAAATGCAGGAAACGATGTCTAGTAATCATAGTGAAATGGAAGTTGATATCCAGAACCTAGATAGCAAAATGAATGTAATACAAGAAGCAATCCAGAAGAACGAACAAAAAATAAAAATTGTAGAGGCCAAGGCGGAGCAAAACGAAAGAAAATTGGATTGACAATTGTATGAGAAAGAAAAGATAGAGGAGGAAAATGTGACAAGATATCTTCAAAATGCAAATTTACCTTAGATTCCTACTAGAGGGAAATATAACAATGATGGAATTAACTGAAGCAATTAAGAAACAAAAGAATGGGAAGGCACCAGGGCCAGATGGTTTGCCAGCGGAATATTATAGGACATTGCAGGAATCTTTAAGTCTCCCATTTTTGAACATTATGAATGAAGTGATGATAAAGAAGGAAATACTCAAGTCATGGTCTGAGGCATATATTACATTGATTCCTAAAGAGGATACAGACCCACAACAAATCAAAAAACTATAGGCCTATATCCCTGCTAAATTATAAGATTAGATTGTAAAATATTTGCTTCAATATTGGCAGAAAGACTTAAAAGATACTTAAATAATTTTATACATTCAGATCAAAATGGGTTTCTGCCAAAAAGACAAATAAGAGATAATATGAGAATGATTCTGGACACTTTGGAATACTATGAAGCCCATCCTGAAAAGCAAATGGCGTTGATATTTTTAGACGCACAGAAAGTTTTTGACAATGTAAAATTGGTGATTTATGTTGCTTTAAATGGAACAGATGGGTTTTGGCAGAAAATTCATTCAAGCAATAGAAGCTATATATTATAAATAAAGGGCAAAAGTAATGATAAATGGAGAATTGACACACTCTATTGAGATAAAAAAAGGTAGCAGACAAGGATGTCCATTGTTGTCCCCTCTGTTGTTTATATTAACATTAGAAGTGCTAAACAGAAATATCAGAGAAGAAAAAGACGTAAAGGGAATGAAAATTCGAAAAGAAGAATACAAATTACAAGCATTTGCAGATGACCTGGTCTTTATTCTTGAAGTTCCATTAACATCAATAACTACATTGATAGATAGAATTGCTGGTTTGAAAATCAATAAAGACAAAATGAAGATTTTGACTAAAAATATGTTGGTAAAGCAAAAAGAAGAATTGGTGGATATATCAAAGATGCAGGTCACAAATAAAGTCAAATATATGGGGATACACTTGACAGCAAGATCTAGCACGCTTAAAGAAAATAATTATAATAAACAAACAACAGATAGGGACAGATTTGGCAAAATGAGAAAATTTATAGCTTTCTTTGATTGGAAGGATTGCAACTATTAAGATGAATATTTTGACAGCCTTGGTAGTACAGGGGTTTAAGGTACCCTGTTATTAAGCTTATTAAGACCAGCTGCCTGCAATTACTGCAGGGTTCGAATCTCGCCAAGGCTCAAGGTTGACTCAGCCTTCCATCCTTTCTAAGGTAGGTGAAATAAGGACCCAGTTTGTGGGGGCAATAAGCTGACTTTGTATAAATATACAAAAGGAGGAAGGCTATTGCTGAGCACATTGTAAGCCGCCCTGAGTCTTCGGAGAAGGGCGGCATATAAATCAAATTTAAAAAATATATATATTTTGCCTAGAATTTTATATTTGTTCCAGACAATTCCAATTAGGTTGGGGAAAGATATTTTTGAAGAATTGAATAAAATAGTGTTAAAATACATTTGGCAGGGAAAGAAGGCGAGGATAAAATTAGTTACAAGATGCTAGAATGAACGGGGGGTTTGGGTTACCTAACTGGTAACTCTATTACCAAGCGACAAGTTTGATGTGGATTAAAGAATGGATAACGTTAAGAAATACTAGATTATTGAATCTAGAAGGTCATGATTTGTTGATGGGGTGGCATGCTTTTTTATGGTATAAAAGAACAAAAATATAGGGTATTTTAGAAGACATCATATACGTGAGGCTTTGTTATTAAATTGGGAGAAGATTAAAAAACAACACTATTTGAAAATTCCAGGTTGGGTATCAACAATTAAAGCATTTTCATATTCAGTAGTATTTAGAAGGGAACAAATTGTTAGATATAGTGAATTAATGGATGGAAAGAGTGAACTTAAATAAAGCAAGAACTAGAAGAACAAGGTTTTAAAATGGATCGGTTTTCTTATTTGCAAATACGTTCTAGATACAAAGAAGATTCTAAACAAACATATCTTGACTAATTTAGGTAAGATTTTAATGGGTTCTGATGATTATTTAATTAAAAAATTGTATGGTTATTTACTAGGGATAAAATTGGAAGAAGAACAAATTAAACAATGATAGCATGGGGGAAAATTTGGACCATGGGATTGATTTAGAGAAATGGCAAAAATTGTGGTTGCACAATTATAAAATGACAATGTCTACAGCATATAAGGAGAATTTGTATAAGATGTTTTACAGGTGGCATCTACCCCCGACAAGAATAGCCAGAATATTCAAGAACAAATCGGAGAAATGTTGGAAATGTCATCAGTCTCCAGGATCATATTACCATATGTGGTGGACATGTGCAGAAGCTAAAATATATTGGACTAAAATCCACACATGGTTGGAAAAAATGACAAAGAAACACATAGACTTTAAACCAGAGATATTTTTATTAGGGATTTTACCAGAAACGTACAATAGAGAACTGAGATATTTAATTGTGAATGTTTTAACAGCGGCTAGAATTGTATTTGCTAAAAATTGGAAAGGACAGAAGATACCTACTGATGATGAAGTTATTAAGAAAATTACGGAATGTGCTGAAATGAGTAAATTGACATTTGAAATTAGAGAACAGGAAGACAAACAATACTATTCGATATGGGATTTGTTTTACTGATGGCTAGATAATAAAGCATGGAGATGAAGTATGAAATATGAAATTAAGGTAATGATAAAATATATGAAATGTTTTCTTATGGGAGTTAAGCCTTTATTAAATAATTGTTAAATGAGAATAATAATATAAAGGGATATATAAAGTTGTCAAATAAGAGAAATTAAATAATTTGTAATTTTGGATATGGGATTATGCACAAAAGAATCTTAACCAATTGACACACTTTCTGTGATTGTATTGAATGATGGTGTTATGTTTAAAAATAAAAAAAAAATTCAAAAAAAAATCTACCACATGGAGTACAGGGAATTCCTGTGTGGACTGGAGAAAAGAAACTGAGATCCTGAAGATCTAAACTTCCTTTCTCTAGCCAAGCACTGTGGTTTCTATCTGTACATACAGCAGAAGGAAACTCCTATATTGGGTCAGATGAAGG